AATGTGGCAAGTCTTTTTTTTCATGTAATTACTTACCACTGATGTATTATAATGATCCTCGGAAGCACTTTAATTAGATTTGAATCATTAATGAGAAACTCATGGTTAACGAAGTTTGATTGGACATGTGAGTGTGCAGAGACAGACCCACATGTACGCTTGCAAAATACACACACACACACACACACACACACACACACACACACACACACACATCACGTTACTCTGCGCTGCGCAAAACTCCATATTTGAACAGTCAATAGCAAATACTTAAACTAATAACAAAACATACTTACAGTCGCTGATTCAGAAGCGCCAGAAAGTTTGATTGGACATGTGAGTGTGCAGAGACAGACCCACATGTACGCTTGCAAAATACACACACACACACACACACACACACACACACACACACACACACACATCACGTTACTAAATGAAGGGATTTAGATAACTGAATCATTTTTGTAAAGTGTTATTTTCCGGTGTAAAAGGTGTTTTTGCATGTGTGTGTGTGTGCGTGTGTGTGTACCTATATTTTGAGGACAAATTTGTACTCTGAATTACAAACCTGACAAAATCTCCCAAAACCCTCCTTTTGGGGACATCCTCGTTTGTAAAAAGTATAAAACAACTAATTTAAAGAAAGTTCTCTGTTCGGGTTTGTGGTAAACATAGACTGTATAAAAACATGGACGTAGTGTCCGTGACATCACCCGTAGGTTTCTGAAGAATGGTTTTGAAGCTCAAAGTGGGCGGAGCCAGCCGTCGCCATCTTGGCAGCGCGTCACCGTGCGTCACTCCCGGATAATTGAAAATGGGCAAAGAGGCGGGAACTGGTTGCTGAAACCACACCCACCTAGCTCTACGCCGGTGACAGCAGCAGCAATCCACCTGTCACTCAAGTGGCCACGCCCTTAATTATGCAGAACTTTAAGGCTTAATATAGTTTAAACAGATGAGTTATAAAAAAATTCACCCCCCTTCACAGTTGTCATGAAGGGCAAAATTAGCTATATAGAACAAAATCATTTTTTGTACCAGGCTGTAAACATACTTTTTCTGCTGTAAAGTTGGGCATTTTAACATGGGGAGTCTATGGGACTGACTCCCTTTTGGAGCCAGCCTCTAGCGGCCAGTCGATGAATTGCAAACTTCCGTGTTGGCTTCACGAGAGAGACCGGAAGGTTGCCGTTTAGTGGTAACCAAGAGCGAAGGCTTATTTTGGATACTGTCTTCCTATCGACTGACATCTGATTGCATTTTCAGTGTTCACCCTTTGTAACTGAATCAACAATGAACCGACTTTAACTGAAAAACTGTTGTTCTTTTGCATTATCAGCACGTTTTTCCTGTTTAACACTGTAAAGCTGCTTTGACAATCTATATTGTATAAAGCGCTATATAAATAAAGGAGACTTGACTTGACTAAACAACATATGCTCTTTTCTTTTATCTCTTCATGTTTTTGAAGGAAATGGATGAGGAAATGGTTTTTTTCCACTGTACTAGAATTTTTGGAGATTCCTTAAACTTACTGTATAATTTGATTATAATATTGAAAATGCACTTTTGTCAGCTAATGCGCAATTCTAAAGAGCACTGCACATCAAATTTTGTTTGCATGTTGAATAAATGTCTTTCTGTTAGTCAATATGTAATAATTGAAAGTAAACAAATATTGGTGTAACCATGTCTACAAGGTCAATGTCTACCTATTTAAAACAAACATATACACCAGGTATTTTACTGGAAGTGTGCTACTAACCCATACACAATTGTATCTTTTTTTTCCTATGTCTCCTTTATATGGGTCAAATTTGCAATTCTGCCATGTTTGTTAAGCTTTACAGAGCCATAATTCCTTAATGAAAAACAACTTCCTCTTTCATGGTGTTAATTTTTCTCTTCTAATCCTTGGCTGATGCTGTTCACTTGCATGACCATGCCTTTCCCGATAACGACTGCATAACCCTTAACCTTGGCTCATGGCCATATGGTCATAAGAAATCCCTTATGCATTGTGGTGCATACTCATAGCGCTCTTTACTATCTCAGTGCCTGAGGGTATTGCAAGCTTTAACATTTTTGACCTCCTGTTACCACTGTGTGTGATGTGGGAGGATTCACAAATGTTTTATAGCCCTAGAACTTTCACGGTTGCAGAAATGCTATGTTGATGGTTTTTAATGTAAAGAGTTAAATTGTTGCTCTTTTCAAAGCAATAGACCTTAGTCAGGGTAAAGTGGCATATTTAATTTCTGACAGCAATGAAAACAAGGCTGTGAGTGACTGCTGCTCCTCTGCCCTCCATTCATCCATGCACTCCCTTGTTCAAAACATCAAGAAAATGGAATATATAATGACATTGAGATATCTTTGTCTTTTGTAACCAATATCAAGAGATGAGGTAATATGCTAATATAGAAACATGGCATGTAGAAGTTGGCCTTCAGCAGAAAGCTCTGCACTGCGCTCCGCCATCTTGCGTTTACAGAGCGATGCATGTGGCATATCACTCTTGCAGACTCACAGAAAAAAAAAAAAAAGCTTGGATGCTAAGGATGACTACACTATATCTTTACATAGCAGATAGTTGTTTGCTGATTCTAAATGTAAAAATCGTATGTATCACCTTTAAGTATTCACTAACAATCTTGACATTTGCCCTAGTCCTCTCTGGTGAGTTCATTGAAGAAGAGCTGTCTGATTCATGAACAAACTGAGTTTCCATTAGGTTTAAACATTTTTTTGCTGTATGTATGTGTGTTGTTCAGTGTTAATATGTGAATAAACGTTTTAATAAGTCTGTTCATCATATAAAGCTATAGCGTCAAGTAAAATCACATTAATTTAGCACTTTATACAACAAGCTTCTCATTAATAAACAGGAACATACCAGTGTTAATGTCGCAAAATTCATCAATTGTGAATTCCATTTCAGAAGTAAAGCAGCTGTACAGAAGACAATAGTGTCATTATTTAGCTCAATTCAGATCAGTGTTGATTCAGTTCAGTTCAGTAACACTGTAAATTTAATCTATTAGGAAGTGAGTTCAGTTCAGCTATAATCAGCTCTACAGAAGAAAGTAGTGTCAATCAAATCAATTAATTTCGATGTTTATTCAATTTAGTTCAATAACTGTCATGTCGCGTTCATCAAACTCAGTTCATATAATTCAGATCTATAGAAGATGATAGTGTAATTATTCGGCTCATTTTATTTTTAGTAATTTATTTATTTTTATTCAGTTATAATAACTAATAAATAATAAATGGGTCAATGTTCCAAAGTTAAGAAATTGTGAAGATCAATCAATTCAGCTATAAGCAGAAGCCAATAGTGTCATTATTCTCAATAGCTCAAAGTTTTCAGTGTCTCTTTAGAAGACTTATTAAACAGCTTGATTCATATGGATTACTTTAAGATGTTCTTATGAATTATTTGAGGCTTGAAGGCTTAAGTGGAATGGACTTTCAATGGAGGGACAGAAATCTCTCAGGTTTCATTAAAAATATATTCATTTAAGTTTTAAAAAGATGAATGATTTGGGTGAACTATCGCTTTAAACAATTTGTTCATGATTTAGAGACATCCAGTTCTTGAGTTAATCTCACTGACTCAATGATCTGGTTGTACAGTAGCTCACTGGACTGCAGGACTTTCAGTGAATAATGACTTAAAGTTTTACTGTTCCTTACAAAAATACATTGTATGGCATCAGAAAACTTAAAGGAATATTTTTCATGAATTCTTTTTTTTTTTTATGATAGAATTTTTAACCTTTTTGATGTTTTTTTTTTATCATGATCTTTGGCTCATACATTGAGTTACGCCCATGTCACAGAAAGCTTTCTTCTTAAACACGTACACTAAGTGCAAATTTATGATGTGACAACTTATACTAAACCAAACATTTGTTTTTCACTTCCATCTGGCATGCGATGGGTGAGATGGGGGTCAGCAGCCCTCAATGGTGTGTACTTTCCTGTTATTCTGTTATAGATGTCTTGTTGTTAGATGTTTAAAGAAGGAAAAGAGAATCCTCTTAGAAACCAGCCTTCACAAATCAGACTGCAGTACTGGATTCTCTGACAGCCAGACAGTGCTCTGGCATCTTCCCTTTCCTCAACAGCAGGCTGTGCTGTGTGCTATGTAGGGCAAAATTAATGAGCAAAGTCTATTCTTATAGCGCCGTGGAGTCCTCTGCCCACCCCTTGCACTGCCCACTGTTCTCCTCTGCTGCTAACTCACTTCAAATATAGTGTGGTATTAGCATTTTATCACAGTGATGTTGCAGTAGGCATATTAGGTTAGATGATCAAAGGTACATCATAAAGCAGCAGTGTTTTTATGAGGTCTGCGTGACCTGGCTGGGTCTCTGTGTATGTCACTGAGGTGGTACAAGCAACTGAGCTGTTGTGAGACAGATTAATGAATCTAGCAAACAGGTCTGATGTGGAGAGCTGTGAAAGCCTCCCATCTGCTGGTCACTTTGAGTACTGCATAACGAATTGATGGGGATATTGGTGTAAATCCTTTGCTTTAATTTGTCACTGCATGGTATATTAAATAAAAAGTGAGACTTGTTATGGCACTGTAGTGACAGAAAAGTCAGTAACTCAAGAGTTTGTTACTCTTTTCACCGCTCTTTCAGTAGGGACTGAGGTTTTCAAGCTTCATAAAGAACCATAGCAGTATCATAAATAGAGACAAACTCTATTTTATATTTTATCTATTTGCCATATTTGATTTGCTCTATGCATGTGTGTTGATTAATGTTAATATGTGAATAAAAGCCTAAATTAAATTTGTTAATCATATAAAGCAATGGTGTCTAACTCTGATAAAAGTATGGTAAAAACTCTGGGATTATAAATGTTAGGCTTTTCCAATATAACAATGCATAAAATCCAACCAACAGATGTTTGAAAGTTTAATGGTTTGCATTCATTCACTCTTTGTTTATTTATTTGTTTCTTTCTTGCTCTCTCTGCAGGCTGTCTACAAGCCCTGGCTCTGCACTCAGTATTTCCAGAGTCCTCAGTCAGGCTGCAGTTATAAGATTCCCTGTGAGCAATACTGTCTTGAGGTCCAGCAGAGGTGTCCGTTCATATTGCCTGACAATGATGACCTTATACATGGTGGTACTCCCAGTTTTATATGTGCAGGTCGGTATACAACTCTGTATCGCCAGAACTGAATTGTACTTTGTAAGATCTATTGTTTACAGCAAAGTTTTCAAAGTTTTTGTAGGATTTATATCTTTGCATTATGCACTGTATCTATGTTAAACGTCATTTAAGTGTTCATAATTCCAAGTTTTGTGTCAAGCAGCATTCTAATGTCGCTAATAAAGCAACGAATAGTCAAAATGTAACCATTGAAATATCTAAATCATGTATCAACATTCAATCATTACAATAAAGTCATTACAATAAAGTCGCGTAACACATAAAACACATCAAAGAGGTCAAAAGTAGCAAGATCAGCAGGAAAACCAAGTTTGATTTAAATAATATTAATAATAATCATTTTAAAATTATTTTATTGTTTCATAGAGCAGAGCTCATTCATTTCTCAGTATAATTTCAGCACTTCTTTAAAGTAAATGCATTACTGAAATGAACCGCGCTATTTGGATTATCATACAGCTTTTTAGCGACATCTACTGGACAATTGGTGAAACTGTCAGACCTCTGCTCAAATAAAAAAATAAAATAAAATCATTTAAACAATTTTGTAGTCATTTAATGTAACATGAAAAACGGAGCAACACATCCACTGTTTTTTTTCCTTTTGAAATGAACATACACAAATGTAATATACTGTATGCACATATATTAAATTTCCATATGTTATATGAAGTAAAACATAGCCTATATAAAGCAATGAGAAAATGGAATGAGCCAAAACGAATATATGTGTTTATATACTGTATGTGCAATACGTTTTTGGACATATATGTCATGTATAACCATCCTAAACCCCATCAATACATGTTGATATTATAAAAATACTGCAAATATAAAAGATAGACATGTATTTAAATTATTTATTACAAAAACATACTGTATATAAATGTAATTTTTTTTGTATATTTGTTGTTTTAATACAATTGTATACATAAAATAAATATTGTTCATACTGTATATGTATATGTGTG